GCGATCACTTCCCAGTAATATCCACAATAACCCTATCACAAACAAACAGCACTCATTACCCAACAAAAAAGTTTTTATGCGTTTTTGCAGAACGGGAAAAATTTAACCAATCTGTGGGATTTGAACTTGAAAAGAGACCATATAGCGATAACCCGAATAAGGAAGCAAATAATTTCTCGAAAGCAATTCGAACAGCAGCTAACCTAAGCATCCCTCAGTCTTCAAATAGAGGCAGAAAACATGTACCCTGGTGGAATTCTGCGCTATCTATCTTGCGAAGTGAAAAGATGGCAGCATGGCACACTTCCCGTAGATACCCAACACAGCTAAACCTTTTAGAATACAAAAGAAGAAATGCAATTTTTCGCAAAGAAATGAAGCAACAAAAAAAAAGCCAGGTTTGAAAATTTCGCAAAAACAATTAACGTCAACACATCACCACAGGAATTATGGAGTAAGGGTCAAAAGATTAAGAAATCAGAACACACAATATTCAATAACAGCAATTCAATCTCCTCAACAGTTAATTACTCATCCCAAGCTAATAGCCCAACATTTTGCCCAGAACTGGTCAGAGTACTCGTTAGACGAAAATTTTCCCGATCAGTTCAGACAAGCAAAATCTCTGCAACAACTTTCCAATCAAACTACCTCAAAAAGTGCAAGGCAAATGGAAGCCGACATAGTAATAGGGGAACTGCTTTGTACTTTAATAACAACCAAAGGCAAAACACCCGGCTTCGATCGTATATCATACAATATGATTCTTCTTCTTCTTAATTGGCGCTGTAACCGCCTAAGCGATTTTGGCCGAGTCCAAAACAGCACGCCAGTCATTTCTCTTCTGTGCTGACTGACGCCAATTGAAAATGCCAAGTGAAGCCAAGTCCTTCTCCACCTGGTCTTTCCAACGCAAAGGAGGCCTTCCTCTTCCTCTGTTACCAGCATCGCGGCCCGCGTTGAATATTTTCAGAGCAGGAGCGTTTCTGTCCATCCGAACGACATGGCCAAGCCAGCGGAGCCGCTGAATTTTAATTCGCTGCACTATGTCTATATCGTTGTAAAGCTCATACAGCTCATCGTTAAAACAACAATATGATTAAGCACCTACTAAACCTCTCAACAAAAGCAAGACTGTTGACACTTTACAACACCATATTTTCCACAGGTGTCATCCCCCAAAACTGGAAAGCAGCCACTGTCATCCCAACTGTAAAAACCCCAAAAAAAACAACCAACTGGCTGGATCATACCGTCCCATCTCGCTAATTTTCGTGTGCTTCGAAATTAGTTGAGAAAATAATAGCCACGCGGTTGCTCTGGTTCACGGAAAAGATGAAGCACATCTCATCCAACCAAGACGGGTTTAGGCCTGGTAAAGGATGCATTGATGCTCTGCTGCACATGTCTCAAAAGTTCTGTCAACACGGAACCACACATCAATCTTAATAATTGACTTTGAGAAAGCATTCGACAGGATAGGATCCCACGCTATCCTAAAAACCCTACACCAATGGAAAGTCGGTCCAACAATTTTTGGTTTCGTAAAAGCATTTCTCCAACACCGTAAAATCCATGTAAGAGTAAACGGCATCTACTCTAGCCCTTACCCCTTGGTCAATGGTATTCCACAAGGTTCACCCCTTTCAGTTCTTCTATTTTCCATAGCTTTTAACGAACTCAACTCAATCCTCTTAAATAATAACCGCTTCTCACACTGTATATACGCAGACGATATATATATCCTATGTAATATCAAAAACAACACCGAATCCAATCAGGTTCTCGAGAACACCCTTAACGAAATAGATGCAAGATGATAGAAATAGAGACAAAACCAAAAAACTGCATATCTTCCGAAAACACCAACGTAACGCAAATCACCGCAACATAACCCTACAAGTCACTACTATCCAAAACGTTGAAGAACTCCGAATTCTACTACTCTACTACTCCGAGCAACTACTCCTGGAATCGCCAACTATCTACACTAAAAAAGGCACTACTGCCTAGAGTCAACCTCATCTCATATCTCTCATATAAAGGATATGTGCATATTAACACCCTCATACACCTCGTAAAAACAATAGTGATCAGCAAAATTGATTATGGTCTATTTATTTACGGCTCAGCTTCAAAAACCAACCTTAACACCAAAGAGTACATATCACAAAGCTATCAGAGCGGCCCTTTTTGCCTTCCGTACTACTCCAATAACAAACTTATTGATCGAATCTGGCCTACGAAAACTCGAAGAACGCATTTATACTGTTCGAGCCAAACTCATTCCAAAAATTCTCTTCCAGACAAACTCAATAATAGACAAAGATTCAAAAAGGCTGGTATCAAACAAACGACCTCTAAGGACTGTCCCAGTAATATCAAAAGTACTAGAACTCTGTACTGAATGCAATATCGTACCAAAACTCCGTACAATTGATAACCACAACCCTCCTTGGAAGATTAAGCAGGTGTCATGCGACTGGTCGTTAAATAGATATAAAAAGGACAGTACTCCGAATGCCACCTTTAAACAACTCTTTCTACAAAAAACAGCCGACCTCAAAAAGCACGGATGAACTATCATTTACACAGATGGTTCCAAAACGAATTCCTCAACAGCGTTTAGTGTTACGACCGAATCTGGTTTTTATTTAAGTATAAAGCAGATGTTTTCTTTCCTCAATATTCTCTGCAGAAGCCAGCGCCATTCTAGAAGCATTGGCACTATATACACATAAAAAGAAAAAAGTGGTCATATGCTCCGATAGCTTATCAGTCATACGAGCGGTGAGTAATCCCACCTGTAACAACTGGGAAATACTACATCAATATTAGAGACATGCTAATAAAAAACATCAACACCGTTAAGCTACTTTGGGTCCAAGGACATGCAGGTATCGAAGGAAACTCCCACGCCGATGAAGCTGCAAAATTCGCATGCAAGGCAAACATAGAAAAAACTGACATAAAACACCACATTCACCAACACCTGAAAGAAAAATCTAAAACTCAATTCCATAACTACCAACATCCACACTACTCAGCCATCAACAAAGATGTAATACCTCCGCAATACCCCACTAATATAAACGGCTTTAAAACCAGGATATTCTCTCGACTCCGTTTTGGGCACACAACCCAAACACATGTACATCTCCTAAAATAAGAAAACCAAACACTTTGCGAAAACTGCAACTTACAGCAAACATTACAACACAACCTCAACGAATGCCCTTTATACGGAGAGGAGAGAGAGAGGAAAACAAACATTACTCGACTCACAGAACATTTCGGAAATATTCTCCTCTCCCACCAGCACAAACATTGAAAAAATCGCAAGATTCGTTAAAGCTATTGGTTTGACCATTTAACCACCAAAACTACGTGACACATACAGTATCGGTCATATCTATAGCACGCCATTTCCAAGTGATATTGTGTGCCCCTTATGTTTATTTATTTATTTTTAAGAATTTTCAATTAAAATTTAGTTCATTCTCAGACAAACCCCATATATACCCAAGTTCAACAATTTGTAGAAAACTACAAAAAAGTGTAACAAATTTTCACCTAAATTTGAAACTTTTTTCCCGGAGGTGTTTGAGTACACAGTTTTTTAGCCCCTGCAATTTTAGTCTGATAATGTGCAAATTTGAAGTGGCTACGAATTACCGTTAATTTTTTAGAATTTTTTTTTGTCGCATTGGCTTCCATATAATGAATAAACTCAATTTATTTGTATATGGAAGAAAACCGCAACACCTTTGGCGAAAAAAATTCTAAAAAATCAACGGTAGCTTTTAGCCACTTGAAACTTGCACATTAAGACTAAAATTGATTGGGCTATAAAACTGTGTATTCAGAAAAATTCAAACACTTCCGAGAAAAAAGTTTGAAATTTAGGTGAAAATTTGTTGCACTTTTTTGTAGTTTTCTACAAATTTTTAAACTTGGGTTTATATGGGTTTTGTTAGAGAAAGAACTGTATTTTAATTGAAAATTCTTAAAAACAAATAAATAAACATAAGTGGCACACAATATCACTTTGAAATTGCGTGCTATAGATATGGCCGATACTGTATACAAATATAAACACAACTCCTTCCTGCAATGTCGAGCTGATGGCCCCGGTAGACAATGCTCATACAAACTATTAGTTCTGATATTCATATCAGCACTAAAGAATAATAATAATAATAATACATTTTTGTCTGCTGGTTTTTTTATTGTTGTTGTATTGACTTAAAATCATTATGAGGGAGGGAGTAGGGGTGTACCAACTAGAATATACAACAAAAGGATGAAACTCGATAGAACTTGGAAATATAGCGGTGGCTGAAATAAACAGTGTTACATTATGTTACAGTTTTGCTCGTCACTGTATATACATATATTCAGTGGTACACATTCCTATAAACGCACTCTTAATTTTAAGTTTGCTACCTTCTTTCTCCTCTCTCAATGGATTACTCACAAAAAATTCTAACTCATATTGTTCTTCAAACTATCGGCACTTTATATTGTATGAAAAATTTGTTTTCGTTGCTGTTGTGATATTTAAAGCATATTAGTGATTGGAAAAATAAATAGTTGTTTTCATTAAATTGAGCATTGGTTAGTTATTGATAATTGAAGTGCAAAATTATTTTTAAGAATATGCGGATTTACTGATTTATTAAAACGCCAAAAGTTAATTCCCTTAATAACACTAAAAAGGTCAAAATAAATCGTTCCATAAGGAAGTTTATTCAAACTGGGAAATTGGGTGAAGTATTGCAAGGCGGGGCGCAACCCTGCACTGCTTAAAAAAAATTTCAAAGTTGTGCTGTAAAAAATTCCACGAAAGGAAGTAAAAAACCGGGTACCCGCCAAATAAATCTGATTAAAAAAGGTTGCACGACTAATTTTTTTTACCTCTACTGAAATTAAAGAGCAGTGGGACCTTCTATTGACTACCAGGCACATTTTACGAAACTCCAATTGCATAAAATGGAAAGAAACGGTGTGTAAGCTTGTGTTGAAACCATATCACAGACAAGGGCGCTTAAACCCAAAAAGCTGAAAAACACATGCAGTGGACAACTGAGTGGGACAATGCTGTGTTTTTCGATGAAAAAACATTCAATTTAGATTGCCCAAAGTTGTACAGTTGTCCACTGCATATGTTTTTGGTCTAAGTCTAAGCGCCCTTGTTGGTAATGGGATTTCAATAAGGCTTGCACACCGTTTATTTCCATTTTATGCAATCTGAGTTACGTAAAATGTGCCTGGTGGTCAATGGAAGATCGCACTGCTCTTTTATTTGAGTGGAGTTAAGAAAAAATTTGTCATGTCCCCTTTTTAATCCGATTTATTTGGCGGATATTCGGTTGTTTACTTCCTTTCGTGGAATTTTTTATGCATAATTTTATCTTTTTTTAAGCAGTGCGTGATTGCGCCCCGCCCTGCAATACTTCACCCAATTTCCCAACTTGAATGAACTCCCTTATGGTACGATTTATTTTGACCTTTGTAGTGTTATTAAGGGAATTCAATTTTGGCGTTTTAATAAATCAGTAAAAAGCATATCCTTAAAATAATTTTGCACTTGAATTGTCAATAACTTACCAATACTGAAATTAATGCAAAAAAAAACTATTTATTTTTCAATCACTAATATGCTTTCGACTTCCTTCTTCAGGTGCAGTATGCAGATGCAGTATGCAGTTTTGTATCTCATTAAATTTTATTATGTTAAAGTGCAAATTTTAAGACGCTAGAACATCGCGTTGATTTTAAAAAGTTTTTTTTTGCTGATGGTGCTAGACATTTTCTCCCATACAAATGAAGATGTCGAGCATATTTTATATGGAAGAAAATGCACGACAACAAAATTAAAGTGTGTATAAAATTGTTGATGACAAAACCGAAAAGTACTCAACATTGCGGACGCCATACAAGGAAAACTGAATTATTACGAAACATAAATGAAGTGGCAGCACTATACGCCATTTTGAATTTTCTCGTTTCTGTTCGGGAACATTGTTAACTTGTTTTTCTTTTTTTTTCAAATAAACATTCTTTTGTTGTAAAATTTATGTGCTTTTTGAAAAAGTTTTTTGTATAATATATTTTACTAGTGTTTCTAAAGAGAATATTGGTAATTGAGTGCATTTTTGAGCAATATTCCAAAAAGTGTTTTTTTAATAACTTATACACGGTTAACCATATTAACCCTCCACCTCCGACTTGTTAATATAGGGTTAATAACGCGGCGGTTGGTACCCCTTCTATCATTTTTGGGCGTTTTTTATTGTAAGTTGTATCTTAAACTAGAGGATTACCGAGTTACTTTCTATATGCACACTAGCTGTGCACTAGGTAAACATTACACACAAAATTATGAAAGGTGCGATAATGCCATAATTCACTTTCACATTGAGAAATAAGACCATACGGCCTTATTTCTCAATGTGAAGTTAAATAAAGCCATAGGGCGTTATTTCCTATGTCTTTATTGCACGGCGCCGCGCCGAACCAACCAATCTCTCCTGCCAATGCTACTACGCAAATAGGTATTCAACCCAAATCCCAAATGTGCACTTAAGCATAAAGGTAGCAAAGCAGTACTGATTAAAACAAGTATTTTATACTATTCTCCAACGCTATACGAAACGATAACAAAAACAAGGGGAAATGAAAAAGCGTCAAACATGACACCACGGTATTTGGGTATAGCGCGCGCTGGCACATTTTGGCGTTGGAAAACGCAACGCTTAGCGCTCCAATTTAGGTGCGGCAGGTGCATTTCGACCCCGGAATTATAAGATTTATTATATTTTAAAGCTTCCGGCAAAATATTTCGGAAAAATATTAAGACTTACGTGAGCTGTACCGATTTGAAATAAACCTCCAAAAATCCCATTACTTTGCTTCCGTTGATAAAATTTGTAAACAATTTTCTGCAGAGCTTTTAAACATAAGTTCTTCTATCACGTGAAGGATTTTTGAAGAAAAAAAATTTTAAAGGCTAATTTTATTTATAAAAAAAACCGATTTTTGGATCGTGTTCAAATCGGCCCCAGCCCACCTAAATCTTAATACTTTTCCGAAATATTTTGGCGGAAGTCCTAAAATATATTAGTTTTCCTATGGAAAAACAGAACCGATGTTTTTTTGTGTGGAGAATGATGCAATGATAAAAATAAATAAAAAATATTTAAAGTCGATCCAAAAATTCCAGTGGGGTTTCAACCCCCAAAATCCCCCACCCAATCAAGCAGTATTTTGGTTATATTCAAAAGATTCCACATTGCATCGTTATTCTCATAGATACTATAAAAGTTAAAAAATTTCAAAAATACGGTTTTACACTTTTAATCCTAAATATCTCGAAAACTAGAGGCAATAGAATAATTTGATGGTTAAATTTTTACCCTACGGCAAATTTTCTACAGTAATGAGGTTTCAAAATCTACCGCAGTTGTTGGCCAGTGTAACAAAAACTTTTTGTTTTAATGTATATGTGTAAAGGGATTTATATATCTCACATAAGGCTGAGGGCAGAGTGGTTGCTATAAGCGATACTTTGATATAGAGATATAACAAGTTATAAATCATATTCAATATTTTCATATGATTTGCTCGAAAGGTGTCAGATAATGGTCCGTTTGAATAAAAACTAAGCAATAGGTTTTTCTTAAACTTTTACCTTTTACTCCATTTATTCCAAGTAATAGTTCTGACATTTTAAGAAAAAAAAAAAACAATTGCTTCGTTGTCATTGATACGGCCGAGTTAGCGAAGATATTAGCGAGTTTGAGCTATAAAGCACGTAGTGAAATGATTTGTAGCAGTATTCTATGATATTTTCTTTTTAGGAATAGTTTCCTTTAATAGTTACTTTAAATAAAATTTTTTTTAATTGACACCTTTTATTTGTGCTATTAAGCTTTCACTCTGGCATTTTATAGAGCTGTTTATATCACATGCCGCACATCGCTTCTAGCAAACTCTCTGCCGTCAACCTAAGGAATCAAATTAGTCAGGTAGCTGAAAGCTAAATTTTGTTTTTTGCTTGTTTGCTTTCAGATTTGCCTTTTTGCCCTTGGATATTTTTAACGCTGGTTTAAGGTAGCTGAACTTTTTATTATTCAATAGTAAATTAAAACAAAAAAACATGAAGTAACATTTACTAGAAACATAAGGAAAAATCTCTGGATTTTGGCATATTGTCGTCGACTCGTGCAGCTGCTTACACTGATGTATTTTACATCTAAATATTTAAATAAGGGCCACGTTTTTTAGAAACTTCTTCGAGCTAAATTGCGATTTATTTTATTTTAAGAAAAATAAATAACACAAGTTTTATAGAAATAAAAAAATTTGTGAAATTTGCCGCTGAATCCGAATATGAAGTCAAAATATAAAAAAAATTCAGTTTTTGGAGATCTGAGAAAAAGTTCACTCACTTAATTGGACTTTTTTGGATATATCGTCGGTGATACTGCAGAACGTTCTATGTCACTTATTACCCCTGGTGCTTAATTGATATTTTATCTGTATCTGATCGCTCCTGGCAATAGCTAATCTTAATCAGCCAAAGGTAGACAGTTGTGTCATACGTTTATTAGGGTGCAGATGCATTCCGGTGCAAGTAAGAGACCATCTAAGTGTCAAGGGTACTAATCGACATAGACCGTTTTGCAGAATCACCGGCGATATGTAGATTGCCATTCTCAAATTCCTTTTTACATTAGTGAAGTTTATACAATTTTGCGTAATTTCTAACAAAATTTCCAAGAAATTTTACTTTCGATACAAACAGGGTTTGAATTCTTCTTCTTCTTTATTGGCGCTGTAACCGCCTAAGCGATTTTGGCCGAGTCCAAGACAGCAAGCCAGTCATTTCTCTTCTGTGCTAACTGACGCCAATTGGAAATGCCACGTGAAGCCAAGTCCTCCTCCATCTGGTCTTTCCAACGCAGAGGAAGTCTTCCTCTTCCTCTGTTACCATAGTCCGGGAGCCAGCGACATATTTTTGTCAATAATTTAAGTTTCGGCCATATTAATATATATGACTCGTATGATGTCGCTATGAAGCGTAGTAACGTTCCGCTGTGCCATTGTGGGAAGGCTACAGCAGCCTTCGACGGAAACAAAAACAAAAATAAAAAATTTAATTATGTCAGTTTTGCTACAAATGATATGAATGATAGAGTATATAGTAAAGAGTAAGAAAACGATGTTCAGCTGGCTGTATGCGGGTGGGTTATACTTCAGCTGCTCAGGTGAACATAAAACAAAGTAAAAAAAAATTATGATTTTAGTTCGCACGAAAATTGGTCAGCTGATAGTTGATATGATACTTAAATCAAATCAAACGTTCTGCTGGCTGTATGTGGGTGGAAAAACGTTCAGCTGAGTCAGTGAAGGTGTAACGCAGAAAGCAGGTATGTATATGAGAGGCGCTCTCAGGGCACGCGTAACTTTAATACGTCAACTGAACGTCTTTCCGCCCGCATACAGTCAGCTGAACGTTTTTTATGGTTTAAAGTGATATGCGAATATAACCATATAACTTCCTCGCTTTGGTCTGCTGCCGAGCTTTTAGCGTCGTCGTCCGAATCGCTATCAGAATCGCTTTCGGAAATTTCTGCCAGTATATCTTTGCCATCATCTGCAAACAGATATAATAAAAATGAGTTTTTAATCTGTCAATTTTATTGTGGCTTATTAACATTTTATTTTTAATATTTTTATTGAGCTTTGTACCACGATTGTTTATTAGGAAAAATTTAATTAGGTATTGTACATAGCTTAGTGGTTAACGCTTCTGACTTTTACATAGTTTAGGAGCCTGCCTAAACTATACAATAAAGCAAATAAGCAAATAGATGTATAGAATTGACAGCAACAACCACGCTGTCAAGTTTAAATAGCGGCAAATCAGCTGCTTTTGATAGTAGTTGGTTGAATAAGGAAAATGAATTAGCCACAAGAGTTTTCGGGGTGTACATAGCTCAATGGTTAACGCTTCTGACTTTGCACATCGATTATGAAGGTTCGATCCCTGTTGAAGTCTAGAAAAAAGAAGTGTGATGAGATGTGGTGATCTGCGAAATAGCTGCTATAACTTCTACCGCTTAGACTTTGTTGCTTTTTGAATTTTTCCTAATAAACAGTCGTGGTACAAAGCTCAATAAAAAAAAATAAAAATAATGAGTTTTTAATTTTTACAATTAATCACATAAATAAATGTTTATAGCAAGTACATATTAATTAATAAAAACCCGTTATTAAAAAAGAAAATATTAAAATAATGAAATAATCTTTGAACAAAAAAACTTTTTTATTGAAATTTGTCTTACCCTTTTCCGGCTGGATTGTTATTTCGTCAAGTGATGTTGGTAACTGGCTGTCAGTAAACCACTTAAATTGATATCTGTTGTCCATTTCTTCCCAGCCATAGTCTGAAGGTGTTTCGCCGCTGGGTACTTGTAGGTGAGCATTCGCCCAAATCTGAGCGATGTAGCACGCTCTGAGGAATTGTTGCTGTAGAGCCACTTTACGGGGTGGTAGTGCTGAGCCGTCGATAGTTTTATTCGGCAAGCGGAAAACATTATCATTCTCCAGAACCTTGTAGTTCCTCATGAACGTTGCGACCCTAGCTTCATTGATGTCATTAATTTTTTTGAAGCCGTAGAGTCGGCAGACGAATTCTTGTATTTTGCCAAAAAGATCTTCTCTACTCTCTTACAAATTCTTAATTTTTGTTCATCATTAATTATGGGCGCTTTTTTGCTTTTCCGGAAAAAGGCTGGGTTAGAGTCTTGATCTTGGTCCTTTTCGCCGCCTTGCACGACATCTTGGTCTTGACCATTGCCTCCTTGAGGGACATCTTGGCCTTGGATATTGTCTCCTTGGGGGACTTTTTGGCCGTGAAAATCGTCTTGGCAGGAAATATCAGCAACATCACCTAAGCTATGATTGCCTTCATGCACACTTTTATCAGTATGAACAGCACCTTCCTCACATTCGCCAAAATATTCTTCTTCAGCAACATCTTGCCTGAAAAACCAAGTTTATTCTGTTAAAGAAATACAGCTACACAAACTATTGTAATGGCAGTCGACCGTAGTAAACTTTTTGTAAACGACGCCGGTTATTTTAGGAGGTTATACAGTAAATACAAGTAGAAGAGTGGGCTCTAACAGCGTACAAATGGTAGAAAGAGGGAATAGTTGCATGCCCTCTCCGTTCGCATCCCTCTAACGCCCTCTCGCGGTGACGTCGGAATGCTTCGAGTTCGTTTTTTACGTATAGGGGCACATTTTTCACGTGTATGCTGATACAAGCTACTATAGGATTAGTCGTTAAAACTAATTACAGTGAAATTCCCCCATTGCGGACAGTCCTTGTAACCGGAACAGCTCGAATAGCCGGTTTTTATAAAAATGAAATTGGTGATTCCCCTTTTAGCATGTATGCACACATTCATGTCGTATGTGACAAATAGAGGGTGGCATTTACATTCAGTTTGTTAAATACATAAATCGCAATAACATTGCAATCAATAAATATAAATAGATTACATAAACGACAATTTCTGATAAATTTATACATATTTTTTTGTGGCCCCTCATAAGCGGACATCTCCCATAATATGACAACACTGCGACGGTGAGTGTCCGGTTATGAGGTATTTCGCTGTATTTAATTTCTGCTATTTCTTATTAAGAATACACTTTAATCAATATACTACAGAAAACATGTAGAAATAATGAAGTTTAATAAGGTTAATAAAACAAAATTACGAATAGTTGGAATAAATAGTGAGCAAAGAACTACGATAAAAATATGTCAATACTAGCTTGTGAAAACACTTCTTTATGAACAAATATTTAATTAAAATCATTTGACTTACCCTCCTATTGAAGAAGATGGTGCTTCCGCATTTTTTTCTGCAAGACTCGAGGCATGAACTCTATATTTTGGCGGTAAAGCTGTGAAGCGTTTGTAGCATTTGACGTGGTACAATTGGAAGTCATTCGGCTGGGCTGGCAATATAACTTCTTTTCCAAGTAAATTGTTGTTCTGACGAACTGTTAATATTTTACTACACTTTTTTTTATAGATTGTTCTGTAAACGATAATATATTTTCTTTTTTTTTTGCAAAAAAGCACAAAAAGGCACTATTGTCGACATCGCGGCGAGAATGCCCCGGTCGCGTCGCTTCACTTTCTATTCTGGCAGCGTTGTAGTAGATCTCACTCGAATGAAGGCTCCAAACACACTGATATGGTCAAGATCTATTCTTTCACTTGAACAATTGAACTGTGTGTCTATGTCGTCGGTGTGTAAAGTAAACGCTGTTTGGATGTTATCGCCCAGCAATCAGCTGCTTGTTAAATTTTGCCAGAAAAGAATAACGGGCCTACGCCATGTGCAACCTTGTACATATAAACCTTGTGATATGGCGGCTTCGTATCTTTATTATAGATAAAACAAAAACCGCAAATAAAAATATACCGCAAGACCTACGCGCGTAAAATGCGCGACGATTTAAAACTCTTGTATATTTAACATTAATAAAGTAGAAATAAAAAGTAATCTGGGTAAATGAGTAAATACGTGTAACTTTAGATACATTCTTTAAGTTCGTTTGAAAATTGGTTATATGATAGTTCACATATCACTAAACCAAAAGAAAAAACGTTCAGCTGACTGTATGCGGGCGGAAAGACGTTCAGTTGACGTATTAAAGTTACGCGTGCCCTGAGAGCGCCGCTCATATACCTGCTTTCCGCGTTACACCTTCACTGCCTCAGCAGAACGTTTTCCTCCGACAAACAGCGAGCTGAACGTTTGATTTGATTTAAGTATCATATCAACTATCAGCTGACCAATTTTCGTGCGAACTAAAATCGTAAATTTTTATGTTTTTTTTTTGTTTTATGTTCACCTGAGCAGCTGAAGTCTAACCCACCCACATATAGCCAGCTGAAGATCGTTTTCTTACTCTTGTAGTAGAGTGTATAACTCTATCATTCATATCATTTCTAGCAAAACTGAAATAATTAAATTTTTATTTTTTTTGCGTGGGAGGTTGCTGTAGCCCAACCCACCCGTGGTGCCGCAGCGGAACGTTACTAGGCTTTATAGGAGCATTATAGGAGGCATTCAAATGAATATGAGCAAAACTAAAATTGGTCGCAAAAATCTGTCGCTGGCTCCCGGACTACCAGCAGCGCAACCCGCGTTGAATATTTTCAAAGCCGGAGCGTTTCTGTCCATTCGAACGACATGGCCAAGCCAGCGGAGAAGCTGAATTTTAATTCACTGCACTATGTCTATATCGTTGTAAAGCTCATACAGCTCATCGTTAAATCTTTCGCAGAATCTTTCTCTCGAAAACTCCAAGAGCCGCCTCATCAGATGCTTTCATTGTCCGTGCCTCCGCGCCATACACCAGCACAGGCATGATGAGTGACTTATACAGCCCAATTCTGAATATTCCCGAGGATTTCATTTCTCGCGGATTTTACTTTTCTCGAGAATAAAGTCCTCCTATTCGAAACTGCCAGGGAGCAGCATTTTCCCCGAAAATTTGGGAGCAGGAAATTCGAACTTTCGAAGAGCTGTTTGACAGTTATTTAATTTGCGTGTTTTACACATAAACGAGTATTTCAGATTAAAGTTGTTAATATATTAGTGCGCGGAAATTTCAAATCTGTGTTTTAAATTAAAGCTCAATATTTTAACTACAGGGATAAGTTGAAAGATTTTAGTTTAGATCGCGCGTTTTCTTGTAATAACCCGAAATAGGTGGGCAAATAGGATAAGAGTACCCTTTGCTAAGTCCAGTTGCCCTGTGAATTTTGGAAGCCACATTATTAATAAACTAGTGCCCCGGAAATTTAAATATTAGTGCTAAATTAAAACTTAGTCTTTTAACTACACATTTGAGTTGAAATATTTTGATTTTAATCGCGCGTTTTCATGTAATAAACCAAAATAAGTGTGCAAATACCTAAGGGTACCCTTTGCTAGGTCCAGTTGTCACTGTGAATTTTGGAGCTGCATTGTTAATAAACTAGTGCTCCGGAGTTTTAAATATTAGTGCTAAATTAAAATTTTGTCTTCACTACACATGAGAGTTGAAATATTTTGATTTCAATCGCGCGTTTTCATGTAATAAACCAAAATAATAGCTTCCTTCAGGCTTATTAAGATTTCTACCTGTTTCTCATTTGTTGTTTTGGACCTAAAATGAAAGTTTTAAACGTTTTATTACACCAAATTTCCTTTAAATTGTAATTAACTTACATTTTTGTAGCAGTTCCCTTTTAAAATACCGATGAAAATTCTCCCAGAATAACGAAATCAATTCTCCTCCTTTTTGACATTCGTAATACCTACTTTTTTCCCGAAATACATTTTCCCTTTTTCGAAGATCGTTTAGAATAGGAGAATAGGGAAAAGAGGAAAAATCCTCAGGGAATTTTTATTCATGATAGGAGGAAAGAGAAATGAGGAAAAATTCCTAGGGAGTCTCATTCAGAATCGGGCTGATAGAGTGTGATCTTTGTACGATGAGAGAGGACTTTACTTCTCAATTACCTACTCAGCCCAAAGTAGCACTTGTTGGCAAAAGTGATTCTCCGTTGGATTTCAAGGCTGACATTATTATTGGTGTTAATGCTGGTTCCCAAATAAACGAAGTCGTCTACCTTTTCAAACTTATAACTGTCAACAGTGATGTGGGTGCCAAGACGCGTATGCTCTGACTGTTTGTGTGATGACAGGAGATACTTCGTTTTGTCCTCGTTCACCACCAGACCCATTCGCTTTGCTTCTCTATCCAATCCCGAGAAGGCAGAACAGATGTAGCCCTTGTTTTTACCGATAATATCGATGTCGTCGGCATACGCCAGCAATTGTAGGCTCTTGTAAAGTATTGTGCCTGACCGGTTCAGTTCTGCGGCTGTTATTATCTTCTCCAACATTAGATTAAAGAAATTAAAAGAAAGGGAGTCCCCTTGTCTGAAACCTCGTTTGGTATCAATCGGCTCGGAGAGGTCCTTTCCTATCCTGACGGAGCTGGTGGTATTGCTCAACTTCATTTTACACAGCCGTATTAGATTCGCGGGATAACAAATTCAGACATCGCGGCATAAAGGCAACTTCTCTTCGTGCTGTCGAAAGCGGCTTTGAAATCGACAAATAGATGGTGTGTGTCGATCCTATTCTCACGGGTCTTTTCCAAGATTTGGCGTATTGTGAATACCTGATCTATGGAGGATTTTTCAGGCCTAAAGCCACACTGATAAGGTCCAACCAGTTCGTTGACGGTGGGCTTCAGTCTTTCGCACAATACACTCGATAAGACCTTATAACCTACGCTTAGGAGGCTGATTCCGTGGTAGTTGGTGCGAATGGCGGGGTCGCCTTTCTTGTGGATTGGGCAGAGCATACTTAAATTCCAGTCGCCGGGCATGCGTTCATCTGACCATATTCTGCATACGAGCTGATTCATGCACCTCATCAGCTCCTCGCCGCCGT